GGCTTTGTTTTTCATAGCTTTTGTTGTTTTACAGGCCCGATGGCTCCGAAGCAGCTCGCTCGATTCTGCCTGCAGGTAAATCCAAATGCCAGCTCTCTGCTGCCTTTGTCCATCGATCAAAGAAACTGCTGCCCAGGTTTCAAACACACACAATATTGCACATTTCTGCAAAGTCAAAGCGAGCAGCCCTCACCTCACTGAAGGTTATGAGCTTCATGATGCTGAGCTGGCAAAGACAGTGCAGGAGATAGTGATGATGATGGCAGCACACCATTGTGCCACACCATGCACAATGAATCAAACCTTGATGCCTACAGCTGCCTTCTGAAGCAGCATTCAACTCAAACAGAACCTCATAAGGGACTGTTTAGGACAACATGGGCTCATTGGAAAAAATGCCTCTACCTACATTCATAGGCGGAGCATGTGTAAGGCTGGGGAAGGCAAAAATGCCACTAAATTGGGCAAAAATGCCCCTGCACAAACAAATTAAATCAATTACGACGGTTGCTAACAAAATGAAAATGAATAGAAAATGTCAATTGCGGCATTAAATTAAGATCTGTTCATGTTGCACCGTATTTAATTTTAGGCGTTTTTACAGTGTTGCGCATTATAACCAATCACACACGATTCTGTTGAGCTTAGGATTGCAATGGCCAATCAGAGGCGTTCAGATGAGTCATCGCTGAAACGCATCAGTTTTGAGTTCGCGCGCGTTTGCTGACTGAATTCTGGACGCGCAGATGTATGTACAAAGTAAATAAGAGATTCATTTCACAGTGTAGACAGCGTAAGTGATTATAACGATAGTTTTGATTTGTTTTTTGAGAGTGCTTAAACTCGCGATAGATCAAAGTTAGTGATAATGTCACTTTCTGTATAATAATGTATTCGCTGTTTGAATAACATTGAAAAGGAAACGTTTTATACTAAACGTATAAACGTTTTTTTATGAAATTGTAATCACGTTAAATACAAATTCAGTCCCATTAAACATATTTTATTAGCCTACACGACACCCATGTCTGGTTCTTGCCTAAAAAGACCGGTTTATGATGTTTGTAGTTAATAGATTTGGCTGCTTTTAGCCTTACCCTGGAGTTGGTCCACCCTCGGCCTATGCCTACATTTGTGCAAAACTCCAAAAAAACGCACCTACACATACAATTCACTGCAGTTTTTTAATCTGATATGAACACAGGTGGCAGTAAAACACCTGCAACTTTTATTCTTTTCCCTACAAATCATGATTACAGACTGGATTATTGATTAATAACCCATTATTTTTGCATAGTTCTTTGCACAATATTATGACCTCAAAACACTTTTACCACAATGCATGATTTGTAACCTAATGCCTTTTGACATTTGCATCACATAATGAGTTCCATATGTATAGCTTTTCTGATAGTAAACTTGCTCGTAAGCTCACCTGGTACAGCACTGCATTTGTGATGTGGAGCGCTTAGGTACGAATCCCATTAAACACAACTCACAATTAAAAACTCGCTATATGGCATGGTTGCTTCAGCAAATGCGTTTTAAGGTATGGTGTAGTGTATAGGTGGTATGATATTTTCAAACTCGATAGAGCATTAACCTTTTAGTGCCACTTGCCAGACATTTCATTTTTGAACTGCTGCGATATGTGCACAAAGCAATGTAATAAAACTTTGCCAACACACAAAAATATTGAGTAAAATGTTCATTTATTAATAAGAACCACTGAATATACTCAATTATTTTTATTTATTTTTTTATCACTGAGCTTGTCGCGGTGCATTCTAGGAATGCTGACTCTGTGAATGATGCATGCAGATGGCCAAAACTGGACAATGTGACAGTATACTAATACTTACTTTCAAAAGAATTAATCATTCAAAATTCCAAGGCGTCGCATCATGTATACCAAGAATGCATTGCAACAACCTCAGTGAAAAATATCTATGGTGGATGAAGAGAAATAGCTAAAAATACAGACATATTTATCTACTTACAGTTTATTCACTACAGAGATTTACTGAAAGCTTAGCAATATTCTAACTCCAAACTTGGTAAAAAAAATCAAATAAGCTGCAAGTCTTCCAAGAAGAACACTATTTGTGTGATACACAAAGCTGAATAGAGATATTTTTAAATGCTTCACTTTCAAACTCCCATGACCTGAAAAAAAAAAAGGTTTCTAATAATAGTAAGGGATGCCAAGCTTGACGTCTGGGATTTTTAAACAGATGATTCATTAACTAGACTTCTAAATATACAGTTGTCACACTGATGCCCGATGCACGACATTCCTGGGTTAAAAATAAGCTCATTTCGCTACACAGTATGCAAATTAGCAGTACGTCCGTATTTCCATTTATAGGCACATGCAAAAATGTCTCATAAATGGTTTGAAACAAGAGGTCTAAGCACGCCCCCATTGCTCAGAGTACATACCCGAGTCCTAAATGCGACATATGCAGTATAGATTTTAAATGCACAACACTGTCAGCAATATCTAATTGTCTTTACAAATGAAGGTGAACTTTTACAGTGGCACTCTAGGCAGCTGGGGTGGAAAATGAGCGTAATACCTCAGTGGAGACCTCTAATCTGCTTAATTGGATTGTTCCTCCAAACACCTAAATGTACCTTCTCTGATTGCATCTATTTTTGTTCTGTACACCCTGTAATTGGACAGTGGCTATATCAGGGACCCTTTGTTTTAGCAGTGCAGAGAGCACCGTTGAAATAAAAGTTTCACTAACTTTAGAATTAGTGGTGTAGAGTTATGAGGATCCCTAAGAAACAAGCTCATAGAGTAAGTTTCAACCTTTCACTCTTCCAGGTCTTATTTTGCTCTGAGGTGTTCAGAAAGTGTCCAGGTTTGCGTACATAATAGACTCCTCTGAATCCTGTATGAGTCTGCTGCCTTTATTGGAAGTTATTGTTGAGTTTAAATTCAGGAGCATCTGGTGAGTAGAAGGACAAAATGAGCAGCAAATCAAGGCCTGCAGGAGAACAATGCTTTGTCAATCAAAAGTTAATGCTGCTTCGTTCAAAGTAACGCTCCAGCAGGGCTGTGAAATGAGTGTTGCTTTGAAATTCTGTTTTACCATTTTTAAACCGAACAGCTGAGACAAGAATAATTGGAAAGAGGAGCGAGGGGTTCGATGCACGACACAGGCTGGATTCAAACCTGCATTTCCCATGTGAATACCTCAGCTCAAGATGCCTGGAGCACATGCTCCAACCACTAGGCTACAGCTCAGATTACATTTGTTTATTGGAAAATGCTATAATTAAGTACAGAGTTAAGGTTCTGAATACTTATGCAATGAGATATTTTTCAAAATAAATTTGCAAAGTTATCAAAAATTTAGTTTTTGCTTTGTCTTTTTGGGGTATGGAGTGCAGATTGATGAGAAAGAAATAATTTGAATCATTTTAGCATAAGGCTGCAACATAAAATGTGAAAAAGGGAAATAAAAAAACTTTCTAAATCTCACCAAGAGGTCCTATTTGAGATGCACACAGTACGTACTGCGAGGTAAACCGCGGCTAGCACCTCTCAACCCGCCTGACTCTGTGCGATTTCCTCTGAGGCTGCCAGACTGAATGTTTGAAACTATCTTGAGAAAAACAGAAGAGTGGAGCTCGAGGGAGTGATTTCTTTTCTGTCAGCATGGCTCTTTTTTGGGAGGAATACAGCAGAATTCCCTCTCGGCACAACCTTTTCTCCTGTATAGCATTGGTGTCAGCTGCACACAGGCGCCCAGCTGATGTTTATTCATTTCATCTGTATGTGCAGAGAATTAAGGTGTACACTTTTTTTTTTTTGTATTTTTAGTTTAAAGTGTGTTAAAGGCTGTACATATGATGCATTGTTAAGGTAATCTTAATTTGACATTTTTAAGGCATTCATTTTATAGTCAATAGCAATGTTTGTTTAGTAGCTACTAGAGAAGCAGTGATTTGTTTGACATATTGATGTTTGATGTAATCACTGCATATCTGAGAGCTGCTGTGAATGTAAAGGTTATCAGGGAATAAAAGTCTGTTCCTACATGAAACTATGACACAAGAAAGCATGTTTTTGTAGTGCTTCTACTAATTTTATGGTCCTGTTTGTCCATAGTGCTAAATATGAACTGTTATTTTTATGGAAATGAGCATTTTTGGTGTGTCTTCCACTGAAAACAGAAAACAGGTTTTGAGCAATGTGAATGAGTAAACAATGACAGAATTTCATTCATATTCAGTAATTTTGTTATATAATATATTCAGTTATTATATATTTTTTATTACACACACACACACACACACACACACACATGTGTGTGTGTCTGTGTGTGTGTGTGTGTGCGTGTATTTATTTATTTTAATTTTTTTATACGACACCAGTCATTTATATACTGTTATCCATGAAGTTAGCAAAAAGGTCTAAATAATATAAAGTGCAAACATACATTTAAATTTAGTTATGGTATTTGGTAAACCTCAAAGTAATTGAGAACCACTATGAAAAAATAAATAAATAAAATAATCACAATCACTGACATTCCCATCCGGACTGGATTTGATTTCTCAGAGGATGCCCGAGTTAAAAGAACAACAGTAGGTAATTTGTTTTGTAATTTTTACCAAGGTTTTTTGAAGAAAAAAATCAGGTCAGCTGGGATTGAAGTCACAAAGTATATCTACAAAATACAACTTTATCTCACCTCCTCAAGGTACACGATGTCTCATTAGTGCCATTGTTAGAATTTTAATTTTGTTTTGTTCCATGTTACTGCTTCTGTTTAATTCAGTGGTTCTCAATCCTGATCCTGGAGGACCCAGTATATAGCAGTATATAAAAAGCATATAAAAAGCAGTATGTCATGTGATTAATATGTCTGACAATGCCAACATGGCAGGTGTATTATATTCCTATTGATAGTCCATATTCATACTATATAATATGTGCTGTGTAGCTTGAAGCTGTGTCCTGATCCTAAATATTTCCTCTACAGAGCAGAAGAGGCACCTTCAGCACCATGGAGAGCTCCCGACTCTCAGGCTCTGCCTTTAGGGATGATACTGGAAAGCAGATCTAACTGGAGGTGATCAGGACCATGGAGAGTTCCCTGTAAACACAGGTGCGCAGCATTTCCCTGTATTTCTCCACTGAATTATTTCTCCTCCTGCTTCCCCCTCTCATACCCTGTTAATAAAATTTACTTCTCTGCCAATTTCCCCATCTCTTGGTGTTAAACCATGTTAAAACATGTTTTGTTAAAAAAGCTGTTACAGTGCATACTTTTATATAACACAATTATCTGTGCTATTTTAAATGCATATATACTCTGAGAGCACAAGATTTTGGGTCTCATTCTGATGGCGCCCATTTACTGCAGAGGATCTATTTGTGAGCAAGTCATGTAATGCTAAATTTCCCCAAATCTGTTCCAAAGAAGAAGCAAACTCCTCAACATCTTGGATGACCTGAGTAAATTTTAAGCAAATCTTTATGTTTGGACAAACTATTACTCTTAATTTCTTGTTCATTCAACTGTTGTATAAAAGCAAATCACAAATCATGCTCTCTCCTGTTTAGAAATGCCCATTTCTAACCTTTCACTGCTGATAAGTACAACCCATTTCAAATACTATATTCTTACTTTTACATTTTCAGTTAATGAATCTATTACCATTTCATCTGGTCTTCATGCAGGTGAAATTAAATAAATCATTGCACTAAGAGACACGTTTGAGCCCGGTTTACTCATCCATTCATAACAGTGCTACACAGATATCCACTTTTCTACACAAATGCAGCCCATCACAATCATATTTTCCACGACCTTGAGGATTAATCCGTCTGGCATTCTCTTCCTGAATAACATGTGACGCCTTCTCCACGTGTGAGAGCCGATATGTGGACGTGTCTGTGTTTCAATCCAAAGTGTAATATTGTAGGCTTGGTTTGAGTGTGTGTCCTTTAGCTAAACTATGACAGAAACTCGGCTGGTGAGTGTATGGGAGCTGAGGTCTGCACTGCAGTCGACCTGAACAATTGAAGAGCAGGGAGCTCAGCTGTGAGGAAGAACAAACGGTGCACACAAGACTGAAAAAATGGGGGGGGTGCTGGAGTGTGTGTCTCTTGACACTGAAATACCTTGCATCTTTTTTCTTAGCTGGATCAGATCCTCTTTGAATGAAACTCTGGGCCTGTCATCTTTCCTGGCACAGCTGTAACATGTTCCAACTGAGCACAGGAGATAGGTATGATGTATGGGCTAGAGATAACACATGCTGCAGTCTACTTTAACTTACAGTAAAGAGTGCATATGTGGAAATGAATGCATGCATGTATGTGGCTCACATGGCTATCTGTAGTGATAATCAATGGCCCACTGTGATATTTCAGACTAAGATGGGGGCTTAAACAAATATGGTGGGTATTAAACTGGCTGCTTAATGCTTTCCAACCTGTAATATGATGCCTTGGGAAAACTGAAGAAACAGTACAGAATTAGTGTTGCATTTCATCTTAATGTGGTCCATTCAAATTAGAAACCCAGAATTTACAAAGTCACATGCAGTTAAATGTATAAATTGCGAAATATATGATGATCTACGACTTGTTTTTGTCAAGATGTAGGTGCATGTCGTAGTTTATTTAAACCTTAGCTGGTGATTGGGTAGGAGGTCAACCAATACTCTGCTGTAGGGGCCGCTGGATTCCATGTGCCATTCATGCCTAGTCAATGGCCAATGGCTGGTTCCTTAGGTCTTCTTCAACATGCTTCAGCCACATTTTCTTTGGTCCTGCTCATCGAACCCTACAATGGACAGGTTACTCTCACCAAAGGAGCTTGGGTGGCAGCCGACTGGTGTTCATTCTTCAGATGTGGCCAAACCATCACAGTCTGCTTTTTTTTTTTTTTATTGTTTTGACCTTTTATGCAAATTGACCTATTATGATGAGTATCACAAATAGAGACAACCAGAATCTGTCTCAGGTGTCTAATTTGAAAGACCTTACGCTAGTTCATGTCTGGTTTGGGCAGAGTTCATGTCTCCAATCCGTACATGAAAATTGGTAGGATTAGTGCTTGGAAGAGGCAAATTCTGTTCTTGGTGGACACCATTTGAGTGATTGCCTTGCTGTGGGGGTAGATGCCAATTTCTTCTACTGCACCAATGATATTTGAATTCTTGGACCTGTTTGATTTGGACTTCAAAGGTGAACATTGGCTTGCAATCCATCTGTCATTTAACTCTGGTCTCATCTGCACTGATTCTGCAAACATCAAGTACTGAGCTCCACATCTGTCCTTGAATGCTTTGGCATCAATCAAAGCGACATCCACCTGGCAAACGCCAGTTTGGAAATAGTTGGTTTTGGGTCTGCACATTGCTGGTTTAGCCATTCATTTGCATGAAAGAATTGGACAATGATAGCCAGAGGGGAACCGTTTTCTCCTGCTACCATCAAAATGGGATTTTTCATTCTTTGACACAGTTGCCTCTGCTTGCTCACTTGGGGATTAAAGCATTATGTGTTGACTTTCTAGGAGCTCCCTGTTTAAACTACTTGGGGGGAGGCAATGTGACTAAAATCTTTACCACGGTATGAGAAACGGTCTGCATCCTACTTGCTCTTCTCGGCTGGTATATTCACAATGTATCAGTCAGGTAACATTCTACAAATAAAAACTGTTTTGTTGTGACTTGTTAGGATAAAAACTCTATGGAAATTAATATGAAAAAAGATCACATTTATCATGTGTTGCAGGGTCGTGTTGCATCTGGTTATGACACGGTTTAACCTTCAGTGTAACAATATAATGAGTAGGATTGTCCCGTGTCTGACTTTGAATAGAACACAGTTTCTGAGTTGCAGAGAGTGAGTCAGTCCCTCTTCCGGACGTCTGATGAATGGGTTTTACCACTGGATGGTGAAGAGACGTCATTATGGCTGTGAAGGGCCTGTGAGGGCTTTTGGCCTGAGCTCAAAGTGCCTGGGTTGAAGTAGGACGATCAGAAGTGCTTACGACCTGGAGCAGATGGGAACAGTCACAGCAAGCCACTGCAGCTAAATAAGACATTACAGCACATCCGCCAGTTCATCATCTGCATCACAGCAGTTTCGTCACCTGATGTGACTCATAGCCACATTGAAGGTGCTTCTCTCTGACCGCTGTGGCATATGGCTTTTCAGTCAACTTTGCTCCAACAGCCATACGATGATTATGTATGTCCACCTTCTTATTAGCCCTCACAGCTTATTTTTCATTAATTTATTCACGTTCACTATTAAATCATCAAATGTAATTTGCATATACAGTATTTCTACCTCATCCACAGCTTAGGAAAAAAATGAGACGTATTTCAGCTTGATAGAGCTGGTTTCGGAATCAGCAGTTTTTAATGAAGCAATTAAAGAAAGTCTCTGCTTTCCTGGGGCCTCGGTGGACCTATCAGCCCTAATTGCCAAAACAAATAAAACGACAAGAGTGTGAGCTTGTGGCATTTCATGTAACTAATGTGCTTATTTGAGTCAGGGTCTTGCCTGCAGTTCCAAAAACGTGATCTCATTAGTATTCATAGGTGTTCGTAATAAAATGTCTAAATCCAACATGCATATATTTCCGAAGTTTCTATAGAAACTGAAATGCACAATACGAACATATTGACTGCGTTTAAAACATGAACATTTAATTAAATTATAATTTGAATGTATTAAAGTGTATTGCCATTGCATTTATGTAAGACATTAGGTTAAAAAAATTGATATTATAATAAACTGATACATGCAAATACACATACAAATCTGTAAATGAGTGAAATGCGTGTTAATGTTGCAATGTTTCACTTATATTTCATACTTGTTGATCTTTGATGATCATTTAATTAATCCATACAAAGATACTTTGATTAATTCCATCTTGATTTCATTTATGATTAAAAGTGCCATCTGTATAAATTTCTTTCTTTTGCTGAAGACAAAAGAAGATTGGTAACCAAACTGTTGCTGGTAGCCATTGCCTTCATTAGTATGGAGCGTATATATATATATATATACACACACATACTTTTTTTCGCCATACTATGGAAGTCAATGGCTGCCAGCAATTCTTTGATTACGAACATTGTTCAAAATATCGTCTTTTGTGTTCAACAGAAGAAAGAAACTTATACAGGTTTGTAACATCTTGAGGGTATGTAAATGGCAGAATTTAAATTTTGGCGGAATTGTACCTTTAAGTATAATGTATTGCAAGTAACACACTGTTACCACCTTATTATTTCTACAAGTACAGTAAACTAAAATAATAAACGTTAATGTGTTTCTTTAATTTACATTAAAAAAAAGGTAATATTTCAGATAGAATCCCAATCAAAAGTTTGACCACAGAATTTACGTTTCTAGTGATTTTAAAGATCTTTTGATCAAAGGCTTCTGGTTAATGCATGCACTGCTAAAATATTTATTTCTTTATTTAAGGCCTTTTCTCCTCAGTGTTGGTGCAGCACTTTTTGAATCAAGATGACGAGAAGAAGACAAGGGACTGTAAAAAACAGTGACATCCGAGCACTCATGGGAGAATTGAGCGTGAAGAGAGTCTGACTTTATTTCCAGGGCCGTGTGTGTGTGTGTGTGTGTGTTGAGAGGAGAGGGAATGTGCTGGCTCCACAAAACACCTCTGCGCAACAGTCTGTCTTTCTGTAATAATGTGCCACCGGTAGAAGATGCAGAGAGCTTTGACTTTTTTATGGTAGAGGTGTGTGGTAGAGACGCCCATCTCCTCCAGCAGAAAACCTATAAACACTGTACCCCTATAGATGCTCAGGATCAGGATAATCAAATCATAGATGGAAATGTGTGTGTCTGTGTCTGTGAGAAAGAAAAAGAGAGAAAGAATCACATAAGATATGAAATATTATATTAGAAATGAATAAGGTGCCATTACATGTTATTTCAGGTTTGATGTATCACATGTTGTTTGGCATGCACGTTTCAATGAAGTCACTAGCTTTCAGCATAAACACACGTCTCTTCAAATCTGTGACACTGATTCATAAATGTTAGTGCTATTCGTTTGATGCA